AGGAATGTTTCTTAAATGTGAATCTGAAGTAACTTAAAGTGGGAATCAATGCTTTGGACTTAAGACAATTTCATGATAATCAATTCACTTTATCCAATGGCATCCTTTCTGTGCAAGTAACTCCCAATTTCTTGTTGACGTGAAGTTGATGGCCATTTTTTCAAGTTGTGTTAGTTACTAATGTGTTCTAGAATGATGGGTAACACTTGGCTTTCTTATATGGTCATGATAAGAATTTAGGAATTACAATATTGGAAAAACAGTAAATTTTAGTCAGTAGTGGTCCAGAGACAGAGCATGAAAACTGACAATTTTGAAAATATGTGAACAAAAGATAACCATTATATAGATTTCTACTGTTTAGTAGCAAACCTTTGAAATTTCTGCTTGCTACAACGTATTTAGTTTGTTTACTGTTAGTCCTTAGAATCTCCTTCGGGCTCCTTAAATCCTTAATAGTTTTCTCCTTTTTTGATTTTTAAATTAATTTTGTTGGGATATGAGAACCTGAGGCCAATCTGTTCCACAACTTTCAGATTTGACTACGAGTACTTCAATCACTGTTGGGTGGATTAACAAATAATGCATTACTTTGTTATGTGGTAGATGTTACAGGTGGAGATATTAATGTGATACGTAGAGAAAGAGAGATAATTATGCGTTCACGGGAAAGTACTAGCCCTGGAACGGACGAGAAAGTGTCTTCACTATATTCTGCATGGAGTGATTTACTTGGTAAATCAATAGATGAGAATGGTCAATTCTCCCAGTGGACCATTTTGAGAAAATCCAATGTACCAAAAGCCCCTCACTTGGAGAACTGCAAGTTGAGTGCAGAAGTAAAACAACGTCTTGATAGGCGACTTCAAAATGAGTCTTTCCCGCCTTGGACAATTTGGAAAGGACAGTTGGATGACTTCCCACTGTCTATAACTGATGATCAGCTGAAGAACTACAGGGATCAGATGATATCTGAAGGATCTTATCCTCCTTGGGTAAGTATCATCACGTTTTCTAATTGTCGTTTGAAGATTGACTTGACAAATCTTAGATAATTTGGTAGGGATATATCTTCCAAAGAAAGAATGATCCATTGTTTGCTTGAATAGTAGCATGCAGCCTAGATGTTTATGATGAAATTGTTTATCGGTTAGCTCAAAGAACTTCGTTCTGCATGATCGGTTGTAGCAATTAAGATCTAATTGTGCCTTAAGAGTTGTGGAATTGTGAGTCTTATGTGGAGGAGACATGGGGAAAGGGAGTGCGTGCTCCTCCCTACTGTGTGGTGGAAGAAAGAGAAAAAAATATTTACATGAAAGTGTACGTGTATGTGATCTACTGCGGATGTGAGACAGAGGGAGCTCAAGCAAATTGGGAGTTTGAGGGAAAAACTTTGTACGGATCTTTTCAAGAATAATAAAGAGAAAGAAAAAGAAGGCAGAAAAATAGGGGTTGATTTGCCTTTGTTGTCAGATAAATACAATCACTTTTCTTCTTGGAATCCGCCTAAGGTAGGATCATTGTAACTCATTCTTGTTAAAGTACAAGGCAAACTTTGACAGTTGACTGAATGTTCAACTGATTTCTTCATATTCATGTAACTAAGTGTCCACTTGTTCTTGGTAATTAAACTACAGAAAGTCATCTAAACTACATTTAGACCCTATTATAGTATTATCTCAACTAATACTTGCATTAATCCTGGCATTTGTTACTAATCTATGGATCTTTACAGATCACGGGATCTGATGAAGAAAACTACCCACTTACCAGGAAAGTGCAACGTGATATATGGCTTCATCAGCATCCAGTGAACTGCAGTGATCCTAGTGTAAGGTTTCTAGTTGCCGACTGGGAGAGATTGCCTGGATTTGGTATTGGAGCACAAGTTGCCGCAATGTGCGGTCTTCTTGCTATTGCAATTAACGAGAAAAGGGTTCTTGTCACGGGCTACTATAACAGAGCTGACCATGATGGCTGTAAAGGTAAAACCTGAGGAGTTGACATATATGATTGACAATTTCTAAAGTTCTATAATATATTTTGTTTTTTGTGTTTATCACTTTTCAGTACTACACTCCAAACATGTTCTTAATGTTTTGTGTAGGTGCTAACCTTGTACAGTCAGCATTATTTACTAATAAGAAAACCTAATGAGTTGTGCCTCCATCTTCTTCTATGAACATTCTCTTCCTAGTTATTTGTAGTCTTGCACACTATGATATGATTAAAGTTGTCAATCCTAATGTTAAGATAAGCTCCATAATCGCTGATTAGCATGAGATCAAATTACAAGATTACATTGACAATATCTGAGTTAAGTCTTGAAAATTGTGGAAGATTCACCATGTAGAACAAAATCGAATTCTTACTTTGTCAAACTACATTTTCGTGGTTACAATACTTCACCTTATTTCATGGTTGATGAAAAATTCAGTCATTTTTCTACAGGTTCATCACGCTCTAGTTGGTCTTGTTATTTCTTTCCTGAAACATCCCAGGAATGTAGGAATCGTGCATTTGAGCTAATGAAAGAAAAAGAAGCCTGGGAAAAGGGGATTATAACAAGGAAAGGCAATTATACTACAAAAGTAATATGGACTGGACGCGTTCCTAGGTAAAATGTTATGCATATTATCATACCCTCTCCTCTACCTCCATTTCTTCTAATCACAAAGTTTACCATCTTAAAAAGCGAAACATATCAATTTTGCACTTCAGGATATGGGGAAATCCTTGGAGTATCATGCAGCCAACTACAGAGATAAATGGGAGTCTCATTGCTCATCATCGCAAAATGGACCATCGGTGGTGGCGAGCACAGGTATATTTAGTGTAGAAATAATCATGTGATTCCATCTTGTTTACTTCAAAGGCAGAAGTATCGAATATTTACATGGTTTAGGAGGCTCAACTGTTGCTGCTTTACTCTTGAGCATATATATAATTTTCTTCTCGTACTAATTTTCATCTGCATCATCCAATTTGCAGCTCACCAAAATTATGAACTTCTCTTTGTTTCCGTCTTCATGGCCTCCATAAGTCATTTTTCAATAATGTGTTTGAATGGGAATTCTACCTTAATTAAATATAAAAATTTCAAGTTAATAGTTTTTTCGGATCTTTGCCTGATATAATTAACGTCTTTTTCAGGCTTTGCGCTACCTGATGAGGTTTAATTCTGAATATACATGTCACTTACTAAACAAAGCACGACATGCTGCATTTGGATGGGAAGCTGCAAATATGGTCCTTATGTCATCTTCCAAAGATTTTAGTGAGGTTTGTAATTCTTAATCCACCGGTGGTCACTGATATTTGTAAACAAAGCACGACATGCTGCATTTGGATGGGAAGCTGCAAATATGGTCCTTATGTCATCTTCCAAAGATTTTAGTGAGGTTTGTAATTCTTAATCCACCGGTGGTCACTGATATTTGGCGGATCTAGTTTTGAGTTTGAACACGGGCTACAATATAAATATACATGGATTTATCCTTTAAAAAAAAAAAACTAAGAAAAAAGTAGACATTTTCAGGGGCGGACACGGGCTATAGCACGGTCGAGCCCGTGCCTGGATCCGTCAGTGTTTTAGTGGAATTTCTTATTGGTCACTCTTCCCAAGTTCATCATTCAACTTAAATTTGTTTCAAGTTTCTCTCTGAATTTAAGCATTTGTTATAGTTTAGTCATTCCATCAATGTCTGATAGTTTGAACAGACGTGACAGTCTAATTTGCAATAACTTGACTGCCATTTTTTTTTTTCCAAGGAATGGACGGAACGATTAACTTAAAAAAAGTTTTAAGTATTTAACTTCCATCTTCCGTTTGAAATAAATTAAAGTTTAGTGACCTGCATAAAATTTCGTTTCAGGTTTAGTGATCACCATTGTATTTCTATTTTCAGTTTTCCTAAGTGGCTTTTCCCTTTTCTGCAGGAATCAGAAGATAACAGTGCATCTGAAATCGAAAAATTCGTGTGGTCAAATCAGAAACCGTGGATTCCTCATCCTCTGTTAAGCATGCATGTGAGAATGGGAGATAAGTCGTGTGAAATGAAAGTGGTTGGATTCAACGAATATATGCATCTAGCCGAACGAATCAGGAAGCGCTTTCCTCATCTTAGCAGCATCTGGCTCTCTACTGAAATGCAGGTTATCTCAGTCCTAAATTCGTTGAAACTTGGAATAAATGGACTAAGAATGTATGGCTAAGCTTAAAATGTCTACTTATAAATAAATAACAAGTCTTAGAATGACCTTTTTTGATTGGTAATGTTTGAAATAAGTTATTTATTTAGAGTATTTCACACTAATGTAAGAGTTACAAAATATTTTTTTCCACTTACGAGCGAGAAAAAATTAACATATTCTCCCTGCTGTCATCTTACAGTAGTATTCTTTAATTTCAGGATGTGATTGATAAATCAAAATCTTACCCTCATTGGAAATTCTACTACACGAACGTGACACGCCAAGTGGGGAACACCAGCATGGCAACTTACGAAGCCAGTCTTGGCCGGGAAATAAGCACAAATTATCCTCTTGTTAATTTCTTGATGGCTAGTGAATCTGATTACTTCATTGGAGCATTAGGTTCCACATGGTGTTATCTTATTGACGGTATGAGGAATACTGGAGGAAAAGTCATGTCCGGTTACTTGAGCGTCAACAAGGATCGATTTTGGTAGTGCCACTGCTAATCAGAAGCTTCTAGTTACTATGATGTCGTCCAGTGTGATGTTCATACGGTCGAGCCATGTAACGACTGCCAGCCACTGGACTTGCTTGAAATGGGAGACGAAGAAATGGAAGTGTCCCTTTTGTGAATAAGATAACTTTGGATGTAAATTCTGGATTATGAAACTCGTGTCTGTTGTGAAAGAGGATTCCTTTTTTTTTTTTGGGCACCCTCACAAACAAGCTAAAAGACTTTTTACATGTAAATTATATGTACTTTGGCAAATAGAAGCATATTATATATATTGTTCTGAATGTTACACATAGGAAAATAAACAGGCATGAACTAGATAGATCTGCTTAAAAGCACCTTTTCATGTGCATATTTGCACAATCCACTTACTTGTCATGAACTGTTGCTTTGCTCATTTGTGTTTTCAGCGTTTGAGAACTTTCTTTAAGGGCGGTGTCTGTTGTCACATCTCGTGTGATAGAAATTGCTGTGGAAACTCATCGAGATTTTTTTATCCGGGCTCAGTTTGCTCACCAAGCGAACACCAACGGAAGAGGTTTATACTTTGTCAGAAGTTTTCACCCCACAAGGGAGACGGTGATTGGTTAGAGGATAAAGAAGCAATTGAAACCTCAAGGAAGAAGAACCAAAATCTTATTCACCAAATGAACACCAATCGAAGAGGTCTACACTTTGATTGCCACAAGTTTTCACCCCACAAAGAAGACGGTGACTAGTTTGCAAGCCAAAAAGCAAGAGGGAATAGAGAAGCAATTGAAACCTTGAGGAAGAAGAACCATAACCTCGCGTTCTCTCTCTCACAAACCAACACACAAAAAAGGGCTGCAACAGGGAGGCAAATGTATATTGGGAAGACCACATAAATCATAGTTTTAAAGATCACATTTCATAAATAACAAACTCAATCATATATTTCAAAAATCAGGTGATCAATCGGAAATAAAAATTGCGCCAAGGGCAATTTCGCCATTTTTCGCGACGGTGTCGGAATGGGTTATAATGTGACAGGTTGATCGGAGACAAAAATCGCTCCAGGGGCAATTTCGTCATTTTTCGATACTGTGTCGGAATGGGCTCAAATTCAAAAGGTTGATCGGCAACAAAAACCGCGCCGGGTGAATTTCGTCATTTTTCGCAACTATGTCGGAATTGGCTAAAATTTGACAGGTTTATCGGAAACAAAAATCGCGCCGTGGGCAATTTCGTCATTTTTCGCGACTATGTCGGA